ATCACAGCATATGACAGCTAAGACAGAGCGTCTGATTCCAATCTAATCTATAAGGCTAATAAAAGCAAGACATGATGACTAAGCATAAGTACAGTATCAGGATGATGGACACGTCTATTATAAGAACACCCACACACGCTCAGAGACACAAAAAATGCTTTCCACAAAGAGGTGGAGGAGCAGCAAAGATACAATCTAAAGATCATCTCTCCCTTCTGTCATCGTCCTTTTCTCTCACCTCCTCTCACCTCCACATTTACAGTACTCTTGCCCCTTCTGCTGCGCCAGGCTGTACCTCCTCCACCAGCCTTGAGGGATCCGTTTTCTTCCTATTTTAAGTAGTCAAGTTGGGTAAACACACACAAAGAGACAGACACAGAGCAGTTTATCTGTTGTCTGCCTCTCTTGTCTTTGTTGCATGCTGCTGTAGCCCCAGGTACAGATAGGAGGAACAGGAAGAAATCAGGTAGTCCCCACCTTTTACCTGATCAGCAATTTACCAGACAGGATCTTACAGGGGTCTAGATCAAAAAAAATATAGGCAAAGTTATTAATTTTAGGTTTATTGAAAGGTCATATCAGTAAAGGCTTAAAACGATTTCTGAGTTGTATCTTCTAACATAAAGTTAATTTTTTTCCCTCCTCTTGTACAAGATGTTCTCTGCTAGTGTTGCGCCTCGCTTCTTTGTCAGATGGATCAGTGCATTCTATCATTCATGTCCTACTGACAGACCACTTCCTATTTGGCAAGCTTAGACAGCTTCCCCTTTTCCTGTTAAGGATTTGGATGTAGCTGTTTGCCTTTCAACCTCAAGTTAAAAGAATATTGAACATATCCCTCCCCCCCCCCTCACCTGGAGTTATAATTCCTTTGTTGTGGTTAAAAGAGTCTGAAAAGCTTGCAAACCCTGTGCAACATGTTTTATGGGCTAAGTGGATAAATCTACTCTCACCCAGGTGTTGGCCTTCTGATGTTGAATTGGCAGATGTTCATTTGGAATAGGCTGTAAGGCTCTTGAAATCTAGAGGGCTGTTTCGGGTCTCCTCATTTGCTAGCAGGTTGAACCATAGCTGAGTTGCAACCGGTTGTTGACCCATTTGGCTGATTTTTATTTGTCACATGCTCATACAGATGTGCAGTGAAATGTAAGGACTGTTCCGGAAGGCCATGCAATAAACACTCAGACTTGAAAACAACAAATCTTTTGGATGCAACATTATCCAATTAAAGTTATTTAAAGCATTACCACAGACACTTTACAGCCAAAACATATTTGCTAAGCCCAACATTCTCTTGTTAGTCCATTGACATGTCTGCTAAAGTGTCCAAACCACTCCACGTTTGGAAACTCATTTGAAACAGCAGCTCTCTAATTTCAACTTGTCATTTTTACTGGATAATTGAAGCTGAAATTTTGACTGTCTCTGGCATTATTAGCAGTAGCTATCTTGGCTAATCAGCTGGCTCCATGAGAATCTTGTGCATGATTTTGAATGTCCACTTGACTGTAGGGCTGGGCAATTAATGGAGATTCAATTTGAATTACGATTTTTGCCTTCCAACAATCATCGCAACCAGAGAAACGAGTTTGAACGATTATTGTGCAGCATGCAGTGTTGCGCTCATTTTGTCGGTAGGTTTCTTTCCATATGTGGAAAATATTTTAAAGTGTTGTAACATTTTTGCCACTAGAGTCAATCACCACTACCTCAAAAATATAGTTAATTTATAATTATTAGATGTTTTATTTGTTTTTCAGAATGGTAAAGTGTTTAGAGCTAATGTTTGATTCAGATGTTGTTAAGTCAAAGAGTGATTGTGTTTAACAATAATCGTGATTATAATTTTTGCCATAATTGAGCAGCCCCACTTGATTGTTCCATACATGATACATGAGTGAAACGGCAGTGATTTGAGTCATAAGTATGACAAGGGTATTATTTGACTGGACTTCTACGATTGATTAGCATCTAGGAATATGGTCTATACACAAGGGAGGGGGAGAGGAAGGGAGGGTATAAAAATATAGATGTATTTTAAAGTGTTTTTTTTTTCAAACATGATATGTGGCTTCTAAAAGACAGTAAGAAAAGTAGTCACTGCTTGGACTTGAAAGTGACCCTCTGTTACTGCTGTAGGTATTTAAGCTAGTTAGCCAGCCACACTAACAATTTAATCATATGTTCGGGGAGAAAATAAGCTGTCGAATCTACTACTTATAACTTTTGCACTTGTGTTTGGGATTTTGAAAAGCACAAAACTTAGACACCTACTTTTAACTCTTCATTAGCAGAGATTTAGTACTACACGGCCTTTTCATGTGGAGAATACACCACTGTAGACAATGTTGTACTTTGATACATACGCATAGAAAAAAAGAAGATGCATGTTACTGTACTTCATGATCCCTCATACACATACACACACACACTCACAGACAACACAGCGCACACAACACAATTACTTGAGCTAATGTCATTACAAAAACAAAAACACTTTACAGCTGCTTTTGGAGTTTTACCATCCTTTGAAACCTCTATCCTGCTGGGAATGAATCTTCAAACAGTAGCGATGTGGATGCAGTCATGACTCCTGGGTCAGTTTGTGTCTTTAAGGTTTAAGTGGGTTTGAGAGTTTTATGATTACAGACTCTGCTGTGTGTTTTAGGCCAGCACATTTGTGATTCTGGGGTTGCAGCTGCCCCTATGTAAAAACAGAACCAAATGCTGCATTTTGAAGTCAGTGCAAGAGCTTTTTCAACTATTATATTGTAGTTTACTTTTAAGTCTTCTAGCTCATCTCTTCGAAACGAATCTGAGCTACTTTAAAAACATGTTTCCATCACTGTTAATAGCAGCAGAATGATTTTACTAAATTAAAACGATACACAGACAGGATATTTTAAGAAGCAGCATCAGTGTTCCTCACATTTAAATTTTCTGAGCTGTTGTTCATTTGGATTTGATGAGTGAATCTATAAATATCCTAATATGAATATCTTTTTAATGGTTGTATGTCTACCTAGGAAAGAAACCTGCAATTACACAATTTAACTATTGAATGGAGTGAAAAACTTTGTTTTTTGAGGCCCCAGAATTGATTTGTCATCATCCTTGCTCAGGTTTTGCAATAGGAACCTGATTTTTTTTTTATTTTTTTTTTTATCATTACTTTTTTTTAGACTGCGACTGATCCCTATTAACTCTGGCAAACACAAGTGTTTTCTTTTGCTGCCCTTTTCACTTATTCATTCCTTACAGATGAGTCAAGTGGCTCAGTTTATCTCTATTTCATTCCCTCGTCCACCCCTCTGCTCATTCAAAGAAACATGTTTTTTTTTCTCCTTCTTTTCTCGGCATGGTTTGCTCAGTTGTGAAACCCCACTGCACAGCATGAAGTAGAGCCTGAGAGCACGCAAACCTAAACCCTCAGAGGCATTGAATAACTTTTTTCTTGGTCCTTTTTTTTTTTTTTAAATGGCCTGAAGCAAAAGAACAGCAAAAGTGAAGGATTCCATTTGTGTCATTAATGCAAATCGACATTGACTTTGGAAAAGTTAAGAACTGGATTGTCATACCCAAAAGGTACACGAGAGATCCCTCTTGTGTCTATTTTTTCCCCTCTATCCTTCTGTTCCCTCTGCTGTTTTTTTAATGAACGAGATCCCGGTTAAATAATGCATGGGAAAGTATGTGATGCTCTCCTTGGAAGAGTTTCCTCTTCTGAATTAAAATAAGAAGAGACCACAGCATCACTTCTGCCATGCACACACACACACACACACACACACACACACCTAATTAAAACCTACATACAGTACCAAAATATACACACATGCATTAGCATATAGAGCACTTTATACACATGCACACTAACCAACACAAATAACGTTTGAATAAACTCCTGTCCCTAAAATGGCTAAACACTCGCAATTTATCCTTCATTTGGTGTGGGCGACACTGTGTGAGTGGGTGTGTGTGGAGATTAGCATTATTGATAGCACATGTGTGGAATCTGTTTCACTGTGCAAGTGCCCAGCATGTGTGTGTATGTGTGTGTTGATAGGGGTTGCAACAGCAGCAGAATCTGTCAGTACTCTGGGTGGCCTGGTGTTCCTGTTGGTAATTGGATCCCAAAGTTTAGGGCAGGTGATGACTGATAAACACATGCACACACGCACACTCAAAATACACTTTATTTACACGCATGGATACATGAAGCCTACAAGAACATATTACTTGGATGGACTGGGAATACTTTAGATGTTTGATACATCGATATGTTTGTTTGTATGTGGATGTGTGCTGTTGAAACCCCTTACTTTTTGTCCTACAGCGTTGGTCATGTGCTTATGAAAATCTTATGAGTCATTGTTCTTTATTTTACATTCCAATAAAAAAAATATATGAGGGAGGTCCTCAGCCCTGAATAAGATTTTTTATTTTATTTTGCTGCATCTGGGCCTAGTTACATGATTGTTCCCATCACTTTTTAAGAAGTGACTTTCATTCAGTCATGCCATTTTTGGCTATTAATTTCCATTTGATTCCCCTAGCCAGCTTTAAACCATAAAAGTCAAATTTATAAATAATATAATGCTCTGATGCCTAATGTGCTTGAGGGTCTTGCTTGAAGTAATTACCTGATAGCATGAGATGAATAATGAAACTAGCCGATGTTTGGGTAATGCCTGCATACATGCGTGTTATTTGATATCAGTTTGTTTGACAACAGGCTCCAAGTCAGACCACCTGGCTTTTAAAATGCAGGCCGAGTGTACCTTCAGGGCATTATGTGTCGTTCACTATGCAGAGAAATATCCAAAGGTTAGAAGAACAAAAAGTAAGACTAGTATAATGTTGCATGCAGTGGAAAAGTAACTTGTAATTGACAAAGTCATTAATCCTTTTCATTTTCTTATTTCCTTCCCTCCTCTCACTTCCTCACTACATCCCCCTCTCTCTCTTTTTTGTCTGACTCCAATCTGTCTTTTCTGCAGGTGGTGCTGGACCACATGAGAAGGAAATGCAAGTGCCACGGGACGTCCGGGAGCTGCCAGCTGAAGACCTGTTGGCAGGTCACCCCAGAGTTCCGGGTGGTGGGCTCAATCCTCAAAGAGCGCTTCCACATTGCCACGCTTATCAAAGCCCACAACCGAAACACCGGACAGCTCGACCACTCACACAACAACAACAACCACCACAACCATCATAACCACCACCATCACCATCATCACCATAATCAAAACAACCACCACAGTCACCACCATCATTCACACCGACGGCGGCCAAGCATCAACGAACTGGTCTACTTCGAAAAGTCACCAGATTTCTGTGAGCGGGACCTGGGGTCGGATTCAGCAGGCACACAGGGCCGGATCTGCAACAAGACCAGCCAAGGCATGGACAACTGTGAGAGCCTGTGCTGCGGGAGAGGCCACAACATCCTGCAGCAGACACGGAGCGAACGCTGCAACTGCAAGTTTCACTGGTGCTGCTATGTGGTGTGCGAAGAGTGCAGGATAACAGAGTGGGTCAGCGTCTGTAAATGAAGAAACACACACTAAAAAGACAATACACGATCCAGAAAAAAAGACGTTTTTAAATAAACTTTTAATTTGAAAGGGGAATATGACTGTAATCCATGTGCCCCATACCTTTTTTTGCGGTGGACTGCTGTATTCCAGGAGTGTGAAGCAGTTGAGCCAGCAGAAAGATGGAAGTGCATGGTCGTAATGTGTATGCACATGCGGCATATGTCTAAAGCTGCCATAAGTCAAAGAGCATGGATGTTTACTGCCCTCCTCTTGGAAAAAGGAACATAGTTCTATCAGATGGATGTCTGGGAGCTTCTAGTAGGAAATCTTGGCTCTGAACAAAGCAAACTTCTGTTATTTGGAAAACATGTGCAGCGTGACATACCGTTGCATGACCTTCAGGTGAGCTAAGAGGAAGTAAAGAGTAAGGAGTAGATTGCATGCAGAAAGAAAATAATATTGCTCCATACTTATAGTAATATATAAACTGAAAAGACTGACGCCTCTCATGAAACTTACATTTGACAATAGTCCCTCCTTCCACTTTATGATGTTGTCTGTCTTACGGCATACACACAGTTATGTTACACAGTACTTAACCCTAGCAATAACTCTTGTCTACTACATGCAATGCAAAAATTGACCTCTCCATTCACCAGATTCATAAAGCACAGGACTAGACAGAGCAGAGCAAATCTTGAGATTGTAAGGATGCAGTGCTTGTTTTAATTGGAGTTCATGTTCATAGTAATAATGTAAAACCTAAAAAAAAAAAAAAAACATAAAGGCATTGTCCGGCAAAACTAAAACTCAACGCAGATGCATCAGATGATAATACTATGTCGTCTGCATAATGTGCAACTCTTCTAAGATTGATAACTCAAAGGAAATATATCACACACTTTGAATAAAATGTAAAATATGCATTGTGGGGTCCAAAATCAAGTCCTAAGGCAGACAGGAATATTTAAGTTTATTATTATATAATTATATATAATATAATATTTAAGGCAAAATGTTTTCAAATAGATGTCAGCAACTGGAAAGGATATAGCTTCACACTGAGAGACTGAAGCTGAAGTCAGTCAAAAGACTGATCCAAAAGTCTGACTGCTGGTACTGCTTCCTGGGAGTTCCACATCAGACCCTTAAAAACAGAAACCATTTCCGACATTACAATAGAGTGTGTTGAAACAAAATCCACGATACGATTATGTGAACCCGTTTAAATATTGCTGTTTAAAGCCAAGTGTTTGTGCTTGTGCAGATGCATCGTGCCGAGTTATCTTGTCAACCTGTGTTGTCTGTGATATGTGATGTAAGAGGACTGTCAAAGTACAATGCACAGTACCCCATTAGTTAACGAGTACATTTCATCGTTGCCATTATCTGAACAGCATTGTAAATAAAATCGATTAATGCTGCACAAATGACATTGATACATTTAAAAGTGCCACAGGAAGCTGAGTGCTCGTGAACAGGCTTCATTTTCTCACCCTATAAACATCCTAAGCTGTTATCAATCAAAGTATTTTGTGATGCAATGTACTGTGTGCAGCACTGTAAGCTTCTTGTGATATATTGACAAACGTCTTCACACTCTTTAAACATGTGCAAATAGGGATATTCTGATGTCAAGTATAAAGTATTTAAATAACAAAACTAAGATTGATTTCTGCCTATGCACATTTTGAAGGGTCAAATTTGATCTCAAGAAACTTGTATGAGTGAGGCTCCTTATCAGATAGTGTAATTTATTCTAAGCAAATGTGTTACTGTGTTGAAAGTCGGGGGAAATAAATCTGGAATTATGTTTCTGGTGTAACAAGTTCTTTTTGGTTCTGATAAGTAGTTTGCACATAAGGAACAGTGTCCAGGAAAATACTCTGGGAGCTATCAGCAATATGCATTTTGACATGTCATAAATGTTATGTATGTATGTATGTTCATGTTTTAATATGGTTATAATCTAAGTTATTTTATTTTTGTGGATAACTTAATATTTGTAAGACAATAAAGAAAGATGATGATGATGGAATGGGCTTTAATGTGATGAATAATAAAAACAACAACAGCAAAGCAGTGTCTTTGGTAAGAGAGAAGTTGTATGTGTGTTTTTTTTTTAGGTAAGCTGTCATCAACACTATTCATGATGAACTCCTTTGTTACTTCGTGCTCATTAATCAAGCAATCATTATTTGTATAGCACCAATTCATAACAAGTCTTATCTGTAGACACTTTACAAAAAATTATATGGGATAATATGCAGGAAGGATTTCTTCTTTGTATTCCTTGCGTTCCTGTTGTCCACACTTCCTAGCCGCTGAGTTAGAGGTCGGAGCAGGCCGTGCATTAATAAGGACGACACAGTCGGATTAACAGTAATGTTACTTCAAAAGTTCACTAGTTCCCAATCTCATCTATTCTCTTACATCTGTATTACATTTATATTTCTAATGTTATTTAGCAAGAGAAGTAAAGCTACCTCAAAGTTTTATTATAAAATCCAAAATAGCCCACTATCAGAAAACGCAAATCTTAATCTTACTACTTTAAGAACAAGTACAAAATTCTTCTTAAATGATCTCGTATCATACTTATTAAATATGTTGTCTCATATTTTTTTACTGTCTTTTCAGACAGTAAGAAAAAGAGCTACTTAAGTCTGAAACAACAAATATATAGTTCGATATTGTGATCCTTTATCCTTAAGTAACATCATAGGCTAAGCACTAAGGTTGGTTGCTACTAAAAGCAAAACTAGATAAAGACCCCTTACATAACCACCAATGCTACCAACAATTATGCCCCCCAATTTTAACACTGACATCCAGGTTTTCATGACACATCTTGTGTAGGTAAGCATAGCTACCCAGTAGAGCAAGCAACAATGTGAAGGCAAATTCATTTGGTACCTTCCAACTATGTTTTGCGAGTTACGTAGCGCATAATCTGGGTGCTAAGGGAGGCACAGGGCTCAAAGAGGTTGTATTAAGTCACTTGCTTGTTCATGGGTGTGTTTTGGGAGTAACGTGAATCAATAAGGTTGGCGTCTCTCATCCCTCTCTATCATATTAAAAACTCAATTAGAATGTATCAGAAAATGCACTTCGATTAAACTGTTGAGTAGGTGCACTGTTGTGCATCTTGTGTGTGTGGAACGAGCTCAGTGGCAGTGTGTTATGAACTGGCCAACGTATTTATATCTTCCTAGTACACCCACTAAATAGTAAGAACACACTGTGCCACAGTCTTTAGACGTAAGACCAGGTTTTATCAGCATGCACCCACAAAATAAGGCACTGTCATTTTCTGCCTCCTTGAAATAATAAGTGCCCCCTTTGCACCTGATCACATCTCCTTTAAAAACAAACACACACCTGGGTACTAACTGGGAAACAAATGAATTTGCTTTCTACACAACGCAGGTGCTGGGGGTTACAATGGCAACTGAGTCAAGTGGAAAATGGGAGAGACTCGGCCCTGGCGTGTGTTAGCACCCATTGTCTCTCTAAACGGAGTGATGCACTTGCTGCAGTGTGATCATTGAGACTTTTGTGACTCAACAATCATTACTTTGTCTGAACATAATCACTAGAGCTTCCTAGAGCTTCCAGGAACTAAAAAGCAGCAAAACTTGATTTAATCCACAGCCATGTGCTAACTCCAAATGCTAACTCCTATAGTTATTACAGACATATCTGAGCAATCTGTACCCCCCAGACTTGTCATGTACTCTTCTCTTAAGTAACCATAAGCCAAAATTATAGATATTAAATAATTTACATTACAATACATAAAGTAAGAGCATTACATACTGTTGTTAGGTTCTGTTCAGATGATCTATGTTTGTTTCTTAATGCTTTGTAGTTAAGATTGTTGTAGTCACTTGTAGTACCGATAGCCTAGCGGTTATGTCAGTGTACAGAGTCTGTCTGTCCTCGTTGCAGTGGCCGGGTTAGAATCTGAGCTGGGCCCTTTGCTGCATGTCATCCCCCTCTCCTCCCAACATTTCTTGTCATTCTTCAGCTGTCCTATCTAATAAAAAGACAACAGACTTTAAAAAAAAAAATTGATTGTTGTAGTCAGAGCATGAGTGAGATTTTTAATCAGTTTGTATACATCTAAAGTAGAACTCAGGAATTGGTGTTCACTTCTGCTCTTACAGCTTAAGCCTGAAAGATGTGCCACTAAATATCAAATCTACTGTGGGAAAAAAATGTAAAAGCACATTTTTTTCACGAGCTTAAATAAACAAAAAAAAAAAGTTTTGGTCGCCTCCACAATGCAGTCATTAACTGATGACTTTTGACTGATTTAAGCATAAATGTTGTGTTAGGGACCTTAAGGTACATCCAGACCGGATAAGCCCACAAGTCGTTGGTGGAGTTTATACCTTCCTTTACCAGTTGCTGCTTGCGTGCAGAGAGAAATCCTGTTGAGCGTTCTGACTCACTTAAATATTCTGCGCCCAGAGGGAAGTGATGAAGTCACCAAGTCAAGTGTAAGAATGCAAGAGATACACTTTTAAAGTAAACAGATGTGCAGTAAAAAAAGAAAAAGGTGCTATTTTAGAGTCATGCGGTTCTATTCTTATCCAAACATTCAGGGAGGAAAAAAGGAAAGCTCTCTTGGGTCTCCCCTTGGTGCTCTAGCTATATGTTAAGCTGAGCAAGTGTAGTGCATCTTTTAGTGTGCTGATTTAAGTGAACATGCTCTTCATCTCCCTCTCCACAAGTATAAATTATTAATGTGTGGACATGTTCTTGTGGTGACAACCCTTGTGTGAATTGCATGTGGGTGTTTGTTGATGCAGGCATGTGTGTTTCTTTGCACTGGCACATGCATTTAAGTGACAAAGTGTTTGTATGCATGCTTTTACAATTATGTGATGACAAGTCGCTGAGGAAAACATTCAGATCCCTGCTGGGTTATTCCTTTTGTACGTTCCAATGGATGCAAATCAAAGTTCAGCTGATCCCCTCTAATGTATAATAAAAAAAAAATATTGTACTGAAGTCAATCAAATGGCCCAGGTCTCATTTTTCACTTTTAATGATTTCATCTTGCATGGGAAGAAGTATATGCCAAATGATCACATAACTTTTCAGAAGTTGAATAGATTAAAATCTTTGATAAATGCTTGCTTTATATCAGATTACTCGAAAGAAAAAACAAAACAAAAAGTGGAAATCTTCATGAGAATAGTGCTTGCATGTAAAGAAACACCAGGCCTGGACTTGTGTGTTGAGTTTATTTGAACAGTGGCTGTTATTTTGACAGGGAGCAGGTCCCAAAGTGACTGGAGGTTTGAGCTGAAACAACATTATGCTGGTGAATGAGATTTATTATGTTATGATCCCTTGGCATGACCTAGCAGGTCTGCATCACTTGTTAAGCATTCTCTAGTGTTTTTCAGGACAAGGTCAGTTAGTGTTTGCTAAGATGCCTAAATGGGCACTCACTATGCATGTAAATATCAAGTAGTGACATGTGTGTTCTCACTTTTCAGGGCAAAATGGCTTGTAAAACAAATAATTTGTCTTGTAAATTAACATCTACCAGTGGGAAGAATACACCAATTTTTCAGAAAGGTTTCCCAAGACTTGGACAAATTCGATCCTTTGGCACAGAAAGTGATTGAGGTTTCTTGGCAGTTTCTTGGCAAAAAACTGTCAAAATGTTTTATCTTCAATTTTAACCCTTAATTAAGTAATAGTTAATTAAATAATTGATGTTGTTTTTGGAGAAGGCTATCAAAGAACTTCTTAATAACGTAATTATCTGAATTGTCAACCAACTAATAAGGCATAACATTTACAACTTGTCCAATCAACTACACCACAGTGTGCAAACTGTGATCACTGTTTATTTAACTGCTGAATGTGAGTGTAGAGGATGAGGGTAGAAACAGCAGAGAGAGCATCCCAGTCTTTGCAGCATACTGTATGTTGCTTGAGCATTCGATGGAATTGTTTTGACATTTTTAGATATGCATGTGTGCATCTGTTTGAGTTGGGTCCCCTTTTTGAGTAATCCTTTGCTTAATACCTAAAAGATCTACTGTCTGTTTGGTCTGTTGACGTATAAATAAAACCTTCAACAACAACAACAAAAAAAGGAAGTTGCATTACTCGAGTGAATTTTGTCAAATCTCTTAAACAAAAGGTGTATAGGCAAAAGGTGTCAATGGGAGCAACATTAAGAGATAAAAAGATGTGAAGATAAAAAGACATTTAGTAGGCTGACGATAAGGAGGCAGCCAGGCAGCTAGCTAGTACAAGCTTGATGAGGGATTATTGTTCCTACACAATTTTTGCTCAAGGGTGAATTGGAAAGAACAAATGTGAGGGACCAGTCCCTGCAAGTAATCTGAGGAGAAAGAACATTGGAAAAACTGCCATTTAAAAAAAGTAATCAAATCATTTGTGGGTGCGTGCTGCATGCAGCCACTCAGCAAGTCACAAAAAACCACAACAGCTGAATGAACTCTAAAAGATTTCTCTCTGAAACAGACACTGGGTGCAGTGGTTGCCTTCAAAGTATCCCCATGCTACTGATTGATCTGATTTGATCCCTCTTCATTGGGAACAGTTCTGCACAAACATAAATGGACTTGTGCAGTGTGCAAGCTTACCAAGGCTAATGCTAGCGAACTCACTTTAAGCAATGATCACCTGAGCTAACCTGAAACACATACCCGTGATCCACTTTTTGTGAATGGCAGTTGATATTTTTAAGTTCTTAAAAAACGGAATATTGATCATACAAGATGATAAACTAATTAGCAACTCAACCCACTTGTTCACAGGTGAGACGGTTGTATGAAACTGAACATGACCCCAACCTGCCACTGGTTTTCGATCATTTTTTCTTTCGGGATTATCAATTTATCACTTATGGTACATCTTTGTAATAACCTTTAGTAAGTTCAGTCAGAGAGCCTGATGGATGATGACACAGAGTTAAGGCTTTAGTAATAACCCAAAAGACTCAGAGCTTCTGAGAAAACAAATCATTTATTGTCTGCTATTTTTCAGGACAGTAAAATGCATACAACACTCATGCTCTGCTGAAATAAATTTGGTGCCCATAAATTAC